ACAATGGGTGAAAAAGGCTTTCTTCCATGATCCAGGTGTCCACACCCAAAACACAGTGGAGAATTGAGGCCTGAATTTCCCACGCAATTGGCCCAACTCTCAACAGTGAGGAAATGATCAGCTTGGGCCAAGTAGTGTATAAGACAAATGTTAAAAGGAAAGCCCCAACCTCCTAGGTTTATGTAAGGCCATTGTAAGCCTCAGCTTTTTCTCGTTTTAAAATCAGAAATAATTATACCTATATATTAAATTGTTGTGAGGATTTGACATATTGTATATAAAATAGCTTGCATCATGTCAGAGTCACAGATGTTGCTCAATAAATGCTCTCTGTTGTTTTTGCTGCTGTTGTTGCCTGTAGGTAAAATTAAATGCAGTGATGGCAGATCCTATGGATTGGCTCATTCAATCTTCATTTTACCCTCCTTTTGTTGTAACTTCCAGCACTGCCAAATCTATGAAACTCAGAACTACATTTCCCAGACTTCTTTACTTTTAGAGTTCTGGATGCCACTTAGGTTCTACCAGTTAGAAGCAATGATGTTAAGATTTGGAAGATGGAAGAGGGTGGAGGCCGTCTCCCTCTAACTCTTTCTTCTGGCAAGCAGAGTCACAAAGGCACGAGTGTCAAGGGGCAGCAGGAGCTGTGGTGGCGGCAGCTGCTTAACCTCCAGATCATGCTGGCTGCAGTGGTTTGCTCTTGACATCAATCAGGCATGGGGAGTGGGGTCCCAATTTCAGTCCTTCAGCCTTCCAGGGACTTTGTTAGCATCTGATTCCTGTATTAGGTCGTTTCTGCTTAAAATACCCTAGGGTGATGATTCTTATTTCTAGAACTGAATCCTGACTGATCCAGAAATGGATGTTTTCTCTAAAGAAATGCCACACATCTACTTCTGTGAAAGAATATATTTCATGCTGCTGCCTCAAACTTGCTTAAAGTTATTAGTTGATTTCCATGTTTAAACCAGGTCAGTGTTCTCGTTGATACCATTCTCTTTGAAAACTGTGAATATAACACAACTAAAGTTCTCTGGCATCCTGAACAGTTAATTCAGTATTTGTATGTCATGTTGAAAAGCAGAGTATATGTTTGTGGTGATCATAACCCATGCACTGTCTTTCTTTATACTTTACTTGGTTGAAAGCAAACTGATCCTTGAAACAATTTTGCCTCCTGATATCCATTCTTCCTTCCTTAGTATTAAGAATCCCAATTTTTGGCTGAGGACACAGCTAACCAGCTAAAATTTATTTCTGTTCTCCCTGTAAGCTAGATGTATTGTCTGTTCTCACACTGCTATAAAGAACTACCTGAGACTGAGTAATTTATGAAGAAAACAGGTTTAATTGACTCCCAGTTCCCCAGGCTGTACAGGAAGCATGGCTGGGAAGCCTCAGGAAACTTACACTCATGGTGGAAGGCCGAAGGGGAAGCAAGCACCTTCTTCACATGCTGGCAGAAGACAGAGAAAGCAAAGGGGGAAGTGCCACACACCTTGAAACAACTAGATCTCATGAGAATCCACTCACTATCATGAGAACAGCAAGAAGGAAATCTGCCTCCAATGATCCAATCACCTCCCACTAGGTTCTTCCCCCAACACTGGGGACTGCAATGCAACATATGAGATCTGGGTGAGGACATAGAGCCAAACCATATCATTCTACCCCTGGCTCCTCTCAAATCTCATGTCCTCCTCACATTTCAAAACACCATCATGCCTTCCTAATAGTACTACAAAGTCTTAACTCATTCCAGCATTAACTCAAAGTCCAAGTCCAAGGTTTCATCTGAGACAAGGCAAGCCCCTTCCACCTATGAGCCTGTAAAATAAAAAACAAGTTAGTTACTTCCAAGATACAATGGGGGTACAGCATTGGGTAAATGCTTCTATTCCAAAAGGGAGAAATTGGCCAAAACAAAGGGGCTACAGGTCCCATGCAAGTCCAAAACCCAGCAGGGCAGTCATTAAATCTTAAAGTTCCAAAATAATCTCCTTTAACTTAATATCTCATAATCCAGGCCACAATGATGCAAGGGGTGGGCTCCCAAGGTCTTAGGAAGTTCTAGCCCTGTGGCTCTGCAGGGCACAGCCCCCTCAGCTGTTTTCATAGGCTGGCATTGAGTGTCTGTGGCTTTTCCAGGTGCACAGTGCAAGCTGTAGGTGGGTCTACCATTCTGAGGTCTGAAGGATGGTGGCCCTCTTTTCACAGCTCCACTAGGCAGTGCTGGGACTCTGTGTGGGGGTTCCAACCACACATTTCCCCTCTGCACTGCCCTAGTAGAGGTTCTCAGTGAGGGCTTTGCCCCTGCAGCAGACATAAGTCTGGACATTCAGGAATATCCATACATCATCTGAAATCTAGGTGGAGGTTCCCAAACCTCACCTCTTGACTTTGGCACGCCTGCAGGCCCAACACCACGTGGAAGCCACTAAGACCTGGGGATTGCACCCTCTGAAGACATGGCCCAAGCTGTACTTTGGCCCCCTTTAGCTATGGCTGGAGCTGAAGCAGCTGGGATACAGGGCATCATGTCCTGAGGCTGCACAGAGCAGCATTGCCCTGAGCCTGGCCCACAAAACCATTTTTCCCTCATAGGCCTCCAGAGCTGCAATGGGAGGGACTGCCACAAAGGTCTCAGAAATGTCCTGGAGGCGTTTTTCCCCATTGTCTTGGCTATTAATATTTGGCTCTTCTTTACTTATGCAAATTTCTGCAGCCTTGAATTGCTCCACAGAAAAAGAGGGTTTTTTTCTACCACATGGTCGGGCTGCAAATTTTCCAAACTTTTGTGCTCTGCTTCCCTTTTAAATATTAGTTCCAATTTCAGACCATGTCTTTCTTCACATATGAGGGTACACTTTTAGAAATAACCAAGTCACATCTTGAACACTTTGCTGCCTAGAAATTTCTTCCGCCAGATGCCCTAAATCATCTCTCTCAAGTTAAAAGTTCCACAGATCTTTAGAGCAGGGGCACAATGCTAAGAGTCTCTGCTAAAGCACAGCAAGAATGACCTTTACTCCAGTTCCCTACTGGGGGTTCTTCATCTCCATCTGAGACTACTCAGCCTGGACTTCACTGTCAATATCACTATCAGCATTTTGGTCACAACCATTCAACAAGTCTCTAGGAAGTTCCAAACTTTCCCTCATCTTCCTGTCTTCTGAGCCCTCCAAACTGTTCCAATCTCTGTCTGTTACCCAATTATAAAGTTGCTTCCACATTTTCCAGTATCTTTATAGCAATGCCCTACTTTCTTGGCACCAATTTTCTGTATTAGTCCATTCTCACACTGCTGTAAAGAACTGCCTGAGACTGGGCAATTTGTAAAGGAAAGAGGTTTAATTGACTCACAATTCAGCATGGCTGGGGAAGCCTCAGGAAACTTACAATCATGGCAGAAGCGTGAAGGGGAAGCAAGAACCTTCTTTACACAGTGGCAGGAGAGAGAAAGTGTGAAGGGGGAAGAGCCATAGGCCTTCAAACAACCAGATCTCATGAGAAGTCACTCACTGTCACAAAAACAGCAAGGCGGAAATCCACCCCCGTGATCCAATCACCTCCCACCAAGTCCCTCCCCAAACATTGGGAATTACGATTCAACATGAGATTTGGGTGGGGACACAGAGCCAAACCATATCACTAGGCATACCCATGTGACTAAATGTTGACCAGTTTGATATAAGAAAAAGTAAGTATTTTGTGTAACTTCTAGGAATTGTCTACAGAAGAAAGGTGCAGACCATTCTTTCCTCCTTCCTGCTTTCTGTTGATTGGAGTGTGGATGTGATGATAGGCACACTAACAGCCATCTTGAGTCATGAGGTGGCATAGTAATCATGGCACAACAGAAGAGAATGAGCTTGTTGGCCGGGCGCGGTGGCTCAAGCCTGTAATCCCAGCACTTTGGGAGGCCGAGACGGGCGGATCACGAGGTCAGGAGATCGAGACCATCCTGGCTAACACGGTGAAACCCCGTCTCTACTAAAAATACAAGAAAATTAGCCGGGTGAGGTGGCGGGCGCCTGTAGTCCCAGCTACTCGGGAGGCTGAGGCAGGAGAATGGCGTGAACCCGGGGGGCGGAGCTTGCAGTGAGCCGAGATCGCGCCACTGCACTCCAGCCTGGGGCACAGAGAAAGACTCCGTCTCAAAAAAAAAAAAAAAAAAGAGAATGAGCTTGTTGATTGCGGAGCTGCCACATAGGCCTGGATTATGTACCTCCAGGTTTGTTTCACATAAGTAAAAAAAAATGGCTGGGCACTGTGACTCGCACCTGTAATCCCAACATTTTAGGAGTCTGAGGTGGGAAGATCACTTTAGCCCAAGGGTTTGAGGCCAGCCTGGGCAACAGTGAGACCCTGACCCTACAAAAAATTAAATTTAGTTTTAATTAACCAGGTGTGGTGGCATGTGCCTGTAAGCCGAGCTACTTGGGGGGCTGAGTCTGGAGAATCACTTGAGGTCAGGAGGTCGAGGTTGCAGTAAGCTGTGATTGCACTACTGCACTCAGGTCTAGGTGACACAGCCAGACCTTGTCTTAAAGAAAAAGGAAAAAAAAATATATCTCTAACTTTTTGAAGCCACTGTTATTTTGTTGCTGTATTTTTATTATCTGCAGCTGAATCTACCCTTAATTAGCATAATGGGAACAGCCAAACTTCTTCCCTTCGCATTAACCATGGACTATTTCTCAGTCTCGAAAAACAAGTATATCCCCAAGATCTGCCTAACTGCTCAAACACAGTGGAGCACACTACTAAAAACACTGGCCTGGGTTTAAAGTTAAAGACATTAAAAGGATTTCACTGAGGCCAATTCAGTGTACACAGTAGTCAAGTTTGTAAGCCAAACAAATAACTTTGACTTACTCATATTGCTTTCAAAATTAAATGAAGGCACCAATTTTAGGTTGAGTGAAAGACAGGACCTCAGCCTTAGCTGATGAAACCATTAGGACTAAAGTTATCGATTCAAATGGCTGAGTTGTTTTCTAAACTGGCCCTCTGCTGTTCGCAGTGTGACCACACCATAACTGAAAACACATCCAGTGGTGTAATCTGCTTTGCAGCTCTTTATTCCAGAGCCCGTAGATCAGAGGGTTAAAACACTGGGCAAATGCAAAAACACCAAAAACCACCAGATTCAAAGCAAAGAAAAATACCCCACACACCTTCCCCAAACCTATGAATATCAGGGGTGGTATGATATGTAAGCTTATCTGCACTAAATGAATAAGGACTGTTTTCCTTGCTTTGATATTTGACCTATTAAAATGGCCAGCCCGTTTCCCTTTGTGGTATATCAGAGAGTAGCTTATAAGAATGACAGACAAAAGAAGGAAAATAAAAACCATGCCAGTGGCCCTGGCAGGAGTGCCGTTCAAGATCACAGGGCAAACGGGTTCCGATTTTAAAACTGCAATCACAGTGGGTTTAGTGCCCTCTATGACGAACAAGCAAACATTCTTGAGTATAATGGTCATCCAAGTCCCAGCCAGAATCCTGTACTTAACTGAATCTACAAAGGACAGATATCTCAGTGGCCAGCAAATTGCCATGTAAGTGTTGAGAGCCATCAAGGCCAGCGTGAAGAGAATCCCATCTCCAACGCTCAGCTTGACTCCAAACACCACCCAGCATATCAGCAGGGGGCTGTTGGCCAGGAGTGCCCGCATTCCTTGGAAAATGATCCCCAGGCCACAGTAGGAAGAGATGCACAGCAGATGCTGGCAAAGGAGGATGTATCGGGCCTCTCCCCGCAGCTTTGAATTCTGTGACACTATTGCCATAATGATGACAGTGATGACTGTGGCAAAGGAGAAGGTGACCACATAGACAGAGGCCTTCATTGTTGCTTCTAGCCTTAGCCAATCTGATATGTTTCAGGGCTCAGAAGACAGGTTCATGATCTTTGGGAACAGCTTGGCTCCTGGAGGAGAAAAGAACAAGAAAGAGTGAATCTGTGTTAAAGCTTCTTGTGGGTTTTCCAGCTCTCTGGTCTTGTGTTCAGTCTCAAGGAACAGATTGAACATTCTTCAGTATAGAAGATGACAATTTTTGATAGTATTGATAGGGATCAAAGAAACAGGAGAAACATTCTGGGTGTCCTCTATATTAATATTTCAGGGGAGGGACATATACACAAATTATCCACACACACACAAAGGTTTGAAAGATACACTCTTTGTACTCAGCAAATTGCTCAAATTCAGGTCAAGGTTTTACTCTTATCATCCTTTTCTGTCTTTGATCGTGAGAGCCTTTTCAATTCCAAGCACAAAGCACAACATTATCAAACCAACTGATTAGTCACCAAGCCCTTGTTAACATTATGTACGTGCAAAGGTCTAGGGAGGGAGTTAGGTCAAGAGCTGTGAGGAATGTGGGGAAGTCATTGACTTAGAGCTTTCAATTCATTTAGGTCCATAGGACATGAAAGAGAGATTTGCAATAATGATAGTAATCATGGGTGACATTTACTGAGTACTTTCTAGGAATCAAAACCTGTTTTCCGAACATATTTCTCACTATACCTGGGTGTTTTATTTCTCACCGAGTGGTTTTATTATGCGCTTTTCACAAGTGGAGAAATGAAGACTTAGAGAGGCTAAATCACTTGCTCAAGGTCATATGGTTATTGCATAGTGGGGCCAGGATTTGGATTTGGTGGTACAGCTCCAGCGCCTATACCCTTAGCCACTGCAAGGAAGCTAATGTGAAATGCAAGGCCAAATAAATGCGTTACTCTGAGTTCTCCCTTGGCCAGTGTCATTTGACCAGGTGACTGGACTCCATTTGTAGGAATATCATTTTTGTGCTTAAGAAGCTAGAAGACTGCATGTCTAGGAAGATACTGGGATCTCGGGGCTGCTGAGGGAACAGGACCACCAAAATGATAAGCTGTGCATGGTAACTTCATAAAGTCTTCTCAAGTGTGCACAGCAATGCCACTGTGTGGCAGGCGGCCTGGGGGAACACCCAAATTATAGCATCATTGTTGTTGCCATGATAGTCTATAATGCAGATACTGAATGTTGCCTCCCCTTCCCCACCTATACCCCATCCAAAGGGATGTACCCTGTAAGCCTTTGCTGCCTTGCTCCTTCCACCTTAACTACAGCATCACCCTCTCCCCCAGCAAAATTGATTGGCATCTGACTCACAGCAAGTCATTCACTAGACTGCATTCAGTCAGAGTATGTCTCTCAAAAACCCAACCCAAGGTACACAAAGAATGTAGTCAGAGTAATGCCATGCAATTAGCCTGCCAGTCATGTTGTAAGCAGAAGAAAGAGACAGAGGGAGGTAGGAGAGAAGCAGAGAGAAGTGAGACTATAAGGCCCCTGAGTGTCCAGAAAGGTCCTTGCAAGAAGACAAAACAGCCTTTGCTCCTGAATTTCCAGTTCCACTGAGATGCCCTGCAATTTCTGTCCTTGGATTCTGAAAATATAATACACCCCTCTATTATTTGAGCTATCTTAAATGGGTTTCTATTCCTTCACTCTGTCCTGTAGACTTCGAAGTATAAAAAGTAGGCCCTGAAGAGGCACAATAAATTATATTGATTTTCTAAAGGGCATATCACAATGGAGATACAACTATTTTAACTTCCCGAGAATCTGAAATGTCATAACTCTTTATGAAATCCCTCACTGAAGGCATAATTTCCCCCCCTGGGTATTGTGTTATCCCCTTTTTGAGGAGAACTTTCTTTTTTTGATGGATTTTTGGTGCCATTGTCTTATGTTTGAACTCCAGGCATTTATTTTCTCTTCTCTACAGCTCTTCAGAGAGGAACTGAAATCATAATGGTCATTGTCGTCGTCAAAGTCATCATCTTTGAACTGCAGATGTCTTTCAAGGTCAGACTTTTTGATCAAGATCTAACACAAAAGCCTCTCAATATTAAGCAGGAAAATGCATATCTGCTCTCATTAAATCCTTTTTCCTTAATCGCTCACTCTCAGAGCACACCCTGAAACTGTCCTGGCACCACCATAGAAATAGCGCCCTAATGAAGACTGTATGAAAACCCTGGTAAGTTACAACAAATGCTCTGCCCCTGGACTAGAAGGATCACATGACTGCAGCTCGAAGCCTAGATCTGCTGCTAACAAGGACTGTGACTTTGGATATTGAAGTTGCTTTGCTTCTGTTGTCCCTGGAGCTGTGCAGCATCACCGGGCTCCACGTCCTTTCTATTTCTACAGTCATCCTCACTCACATCCTCAAAGCCAACTCTGAACTTGGGTCCAGAGCATCTGCGCTTTTACTTTATCCCTGAGAACAAGATCACCCCTGCCCCAACCTCAAAACACCCGCATGATATTTCTCCATGCCTGAGCCTTTTCTTGCTGATCTGGCTCTCTAGGAAAGAGCCCGCCTTGTCCTGCAATGTCCCCTCCCCAGACCTGAAGCCCAGCCTCCAACCCCCAGACACAGGGAGGTGGCTGCCGGCAGAGTCCACAATAGTGCCAGTCTCCCTGTCTGCTTGCGCCTCTTAACAATACACAATCCTGGGCTCACTGTTGCCAGTGTTGGCCCAGCTGATGGGTGACAGTCGCCATTATTTGGTCTTGCTCCTCACCCCCATTCTGCCCAGAATCCTAGTCATCTTCTGACGCATCCCTGCTGGATTTTTCATTTCTGCTCAAAGAGACTCCCTGCACCTGCATGGGGGCTCGCCACCTGCTCCCCACACCTGCTCCATTCCATTTGTCAGAACCCTCTGAGGGCCATGGGTTGGGCTTTGCCTAGCTGTGTTCCAAGACCTGAAACCTTCCATAGGGCATGCAGTGGCTACAATGTGTTTGTTACGATAAAATTTTTAAAGTTTTTCTTTTTTCCCCTTGAATTACTGCAGATGCAACTATGATAAAAGCTAAGCCCCCCAAACCCCCTCCCTCTGGATCTAAAATGGTTTCAGGGAACTATTCATTGTTGGGACCAGCAGGGACTAGTTCCTGTAGTTTTCTAATATGCTTAACACATTAATCAACATGACACATTGTTTCATCACTGTACTCCACCAACCTTTATTGAGCACTGAAACATACAATGCATAATCCTAAACAGTGAGGTTATAAGGCAGTAAAACAGTCACTGAGCCCGGGTGCAGAGGCTTACACCTGTAATCCCAGCACTTTGGGAGGCCAAAGCAGGCAGATCCTTTGAGCCCAGGAGTTTGAGACCAGCCTGAGAAACATTGCAAAACCCTGTCTCTACAAAAAATAGAAAAATTCGCCAGCTATAGTGGTGCACACCTGTAGTCCCAGCTACTGAGAAGGCTGAGGCAGGAGGATCACCTGAGCCTGGGGAAGTTGAGGCTGCAGTGAGCCATGATTTCACCACTGCACCCCAGCCTGGGCAACAGAGTGAGACCCTGTCTGAAAAAAAAAAAAAGTTGCTGACGTACAGAAGCTTATTGTCCAGTGGAAGATGCAGAATATGATATAGTTAGATAACCAAAACATCATGTATAGTTTTACCCACTTACCAAAAGAATAAGAAAGCCAGGTGTGCTATGGGAGAGTTGTTCAGAAATAAAAGGAATCAGATCACCGTGGTCTGATACAGTCAGATAAGACATCCTGGAGGAGGTGAGGCTTGAATCAGGCCTTTTGTGGATAAAACCCAGAGCAAAGCAGGGTCAGTGGTGAGTTGGGGAGAGGAAAGGAGCCGTGCAGATTCCAGGCAAAGGTAAACCGTGAGAGCCAAAGTGAAACCATACTTGGTATGTTCAGGGGACAATGAGTACATATCTGGGTTTTGTGACAGTAAGGACTTGTTTAGAGCGCTAGGGACAGACTAAGGCCAGGACCAGATCTGGAGGACCTTGACACTATTCCAAGGGTTACAATCCATGTTGTAGGCAGTAAAGAGACTTGAACAATTAAAATTAGAGCAGCACATGCCACGGATTAAGAGCCAGCATGAGATGCCCACCTGTGCATAGTGGCATTTGATATGAGCTCTGGCTGCAGAGAAGGCAGCCCAGCAAAGGAGAAATTTGCGCAGTGCAGACCATACTACCATAGAAAGTGGCTCAGAATACTTTTTGTACACGTGGTATCTCCAGGAGGGTTGGTTATCTGCAAAACCATTGAGGCCAGGTTTTATTGCCTTTAATTTATGTATAAGACCTCAGGAAGATTAGTAATTTATTCAGTATCATACATGCAGAAAGACTCTCCCAGTCTCCAAATGAACATTTCTTCTCAGAAGCATATTTGCATAGATTAAGCGCTTGTGGCAACCAAACTTATATAATTAGCTCCCATCTATACATGTTTACTCCACTTAGCCACATTCTTGGAGCCTTCTTCTTCTGAAATTCTAAAATGGGAAACACCTGCTTCCTTCTGGCCCAAAATGTTACTTTGGTTTCAGCTTTGAAATAAGACCCTGGAGCCAAGACACTTCAGCAAAAACTTACGTGATATCCACAAGTGCCCTGACAAAATAAGACGCAGCCACTGCCATTCTCTGCAAAAGTCCCGTTGGAAGCAGATGTGTGTTAAGGACTGGCCCAGATTTACACAAGAACAATGAGGCCTGCGAGGTCTCCTTGTAAGAGCCCTGTGGGCAACATGCCACCCTCCGAGAGTCTGAATATACAAACACATATGACCAGACCACATATGAAAATAGAACTTTGACTCACAACCTGCAGCACCCAGCCCAGGAAACCAACCCTTATCTCCAGTAACCACCTAGGAAGCCAGCCTGATGTAAGTCAGACTTGTAGGAGTCAGACTACTATCTCCAGTGACAATCCAGGAAGCAAGTAAGAGCCCCTGTAGTAATCCACCCCCAAGGGCCAGGACTTGATTAATAACTGACAGCTTTC